GAGGAGGAGGAGGAGGAGGAGGAGGAGGAGGACGAGGAGTTGGTCAGCGTGCGCCTGCTCCTTCACCTTGGTGAACGAGGTCGCCTCGTCGCTCGACATCGCGCCACCGCGCGCCACCCCGCGCGCTGACAGTGGCGCCCAGCTCGGCGGCGCTGTGCGCGAGCGCGCGCCCGCGCCAAGCCCCCGCACCGCGGCTCGGGCTTTTTGCGCCGGCCCAGCGCCCTTGAGCCAGACCCGGCCAGGGAAGCTTCTGACCGCGCGCTATCGCGAGACAGGAGCATGCGCTGAGTTGAGCAAGTTTGGCCATAAACAAAAGTTTGCAACCCGATCCATGGGGCAGGTGAAGGAGGCTTCGGCTTTTAACGCGCTCCTCGGAACGGCTAAGCAATCGGTGCTTCGCTGGGTTGTGCGGTCCCTGTTAACCTGCGCCCCCCCTACACAGGCTATTTCCGGTGTGCCGCAGCCCACGTGGCTGCTTGGCTGGGTACAAGTTCAGCAACGCAGCGGATACATAATGGTAGCTGCCCGCGAGACTTCTACATGCGGTGACCGAACCTATGCACCTTCAGCCTCGAGGCGGCGCCGCAACCTCGCGCCCCCCCCTGCCTTCGCTCATCGGAAGCACTGGCAGAACGCAGTGCCCGCGCAGTGCCAGCGCAGTGCTCGCGCAATGCCCACGACAGTGCAAGTCGTGCAGAAAACCGCAGTGCCCGCGCCTTCAAGTGATTCTAAGAGTATGAGGGTAAGTCTACTCTGCACTGCCCTTGTGTTCTGTTGAAGGGGCGGGCACTGTGTATTTTCAGAACGGGCAGTGTCAAGGGCACTGTGGGGGCACTGCGCGGGCACTGTGCGGGCGCTGTGTTTTGCTGGTGCCAATTATGCCGACGCGCCCGCGCGCGCGCGGGAACTACTCCCGGAGGCCCTCGGCAAAATCTTCGGGCAGGGCTGCGATGCAGAATGATGGTGGACAGATTGTGGTAGATGGTTCACACGGAACGGCTCAAAACGCTCGCTCGTCAGACGGTCGGGCGGTGCACTGTGGGAACGGCGCGAGGGCCGACGAGGGCCGATCGAGTGCGCCTCGCCGAATCATGGGCGCGCGGCCAGCCGAGGCCAGCGCCGCGCGCTCTCCATGGGTGCGCCCGTGCTTGAGCATGCGAGGCGGCAGCGTAGCTCGCGGCCAGTGATTCAACGCGAAGTCGACTCCAAGCGCGCCACGGTATACAGGGTGGGAGTTGGAAGCCTGAGTCTACCCAGACCCCCCTCCTCAATGTTGATTGGCGCGGCCCAAGGGTAATAACCTGGTCTCGCCACGCCGCCGCACTGAGCATTGCAAGGGTTGGACGCTGCGGAGCCCGTCGGCAGAGACCCCGTGAACCCCCCTCTTCAAGGTAGCTGCGGTGCACCGTTTTTTTGTTGGGTTGATCAGCGCCTATATCAAAGAGGGGGGGTCTGGGGGGGACCCTCATTGCAAGATCGCCATGGTGATGGTGACGATCGATTGATAATGCTGTTCGGGTGTATTCTCTATGTAAGGTAGAAGTTGGGGAGGGAGGAGGATCGACAACATTTTGTTGAACTCTCATTTCTGAAGATGGATCGTTGAACCCATCCCACCGGCCGACATTGTCCCCCAGGGCTCGCATCCCGTTTTTTGTGGCCGAGAAAAACCTTGAGCGTTAAAGTGTCCCCCTCGGCCCCAGGCGACAACAACAACGGCTCCCGCCTGAGACTTCCCCCTTCCCCGCTCCTCTCCGCAACTGTCTGTGTTCAAGTCTTTTCTGGCCCCCAGGGGGGCCGCCGTCGTGGGCTACTGGAAGGGCCTCCGCCTTGCAGGGTCCCGCCAGCGCACTCCAGCACTCGCTGCAGGAGGGGCAGCGCCACGTTCTGCTGCCCCTTCCCACAGCGGGGGGAGGCACGCCGCCGCGGGGCGCTGCGGCTGGACCTCTGCGCCAGGCACTGGTGCTCGAGGCGCATGATGCTGAGGAGCAGATGTGAGCCACTCCCTCCTTTCCCCCTTCCTCCTGCCTGTGTGGGCGGCCTGCGCGAGTACGAGCGCTCCGCCCGCGCCTCCCTGCATCGTGCAGGCCCTCGGGGCAAAATGATCCACTCAGAAACCGCACTTTCGCTCGAGACTTCCTTACAACTTGCTCATGAGCCGGGCTCTCGCCTGGGACTGATTCGCAACTTACTCAGGCGCTGCGCTGTCGACGTCCAAGAATCGAGATCTCGCTCGGGGCTTCCTTATCCGACATCGGGCCTCGAGGCACGAAGTGGAGAGTCCTCCGGTCCCTTCAAATTCTTTGCGCGGATTAATGAACATGTACTTTGAGGGGCTCACAGCCCCGAGTTTCGGGCGCTAGTGGGCGCTCTCCTGGGTCGGTCGCGTGACTTTTCCAGAGGCCAGGCAAGCGTAGTTCGGGACATACCTGTACTGGCATTTAATGCGTAAGCACACACGGCCTTCCCAAAGCGGAGAAGTTATCGAGCAATACGTCGTTCACAAATCCCAGGATGTCGAACATAATGCCCCGTGAAGTCTCCAACACCCAAGGAAGTGAGTCGCCCCTGCGACGTCCAGGGCAACGGAGGACCCTGTGAGACGCCTAGAGTTTCAATAATCATGGTCTATAGACATCGACAGGGTATGTCGAACAGCAAGTGTGAGCAAGACTGGCGCGGTACGTTGACGTGGCACAGGGGAGTTAATCCCAAACGCAACACACCGTCGCCGTCCACGGCTAGTTGGCAGAGCCGCTTGCAGAAAGTGGAGGAGGAAGATCGCAACTACGATGTGGGTTTGAGATCTCACGGCACTCAACGCCGCCCTGCTTTAAGCTATCCGGGGGGCCTTGCCGCGTTGAGCGATTGTTTGGCATTTTGGCTTGCGCGTCTGTCTCCGCGCACGAGAATGGACATTTGACCGCAGCCGAGCTCACGCCCGGGAGCAGAAACGGTCCAAACTCCCCTCAGGCTCGGCGCGCCGACACAATGCCCTTTGCCCGAGGCGGCGGAGGTGGCGCGCATGCCGGGCCGAGAGCGCACCACTCGCCTCTCGCGGACTGGCGATAGCATGTGGGAGCTCTGCCCCCCGGCGGCGTGATAAGCGAGCCTCTTCGGACCCACTCCTCCGACGGCGTGCTTTTTATTGCGTGGTGGACCCCAAGAACTCTCGACCTTACCCCTGGGACCAATCTGTTTTTGATCAGGTCGTGTTGCGACGATCCCGGGGGCCCGAAACCGGCGCCCGCATGCCGAAACTTTGACATGACGCCTTGACGCGTCTTCTTGCCACGCTTGGAGGTCCTCTCAGAGGTCCACTCCTGATTATCAGACCCATGGAGAAGTTAAGGGACGCCATTGCGTAGTAATGAACTGACACAGTTAGGACATGAGCAGTGCGTGGCTACCACAAGCAGGACACAGCTGGCCTCAAGCAAGGGGCGAACACCACCCGATATAATATGGCTTTCCAGCGCAGCATTTGGAGAGAAACCGGAGGGGGGGGGAGCGGGAGACGATGCAGACGAAGTACGATCCGATAGGTCTACGCGGACCTCAGAATCCCAGGGCGGCGCCCGATGCTGCCTCGCCGCCCAATGCTCGCCCTCGCTGCTCGGCATCTCCTCGTCGGAAGCCCCGTCGGCCTCCTGAGCGCCGCAGGCCGTCGCCGCTGGCCCTCGCTGCTGCCACGACCGCAGCGATCGCCGCCGACTCCTCCGGTGGTGTCATCACGGTGGTCGTCGCTGCCTAGCCGTCGGCGCTGTCGGCTCTGCCATTTTTGCTGAAAAGAAATTCCAGCATCCCGATTCGCGCAAATGTGGGTCACCTCATGCTTCTCCTGCTGCTGCTACCGTTGCCGCTACTGTGTCTCCTCCTTCATTCCGTTTCATTGTAAATAACTCCTCCCTGTCGCGCTGTGAGGCCGCTCAAAAAGGCGGGCAAGGCGTTTCGCCTGAGACGCCTTCAACATTTATGACCCGAAAGCTTCTAAGATTGGCAACATATTCACAAGTGGAGGGCGGACCGTTTTCAAAATGTGGCTCTCGTCTTAGCGTGGCGCGCATTCGTCTTCAACATTCGCAAGAATTTCACGGATTGTGGGCGGGCAGTTGCCAAAAGGTGGCTCCAACCTGTGTGCCGCGCACACTCGTCTTACAAAAATGCAAGATTATCATGTGTTGAGGGCGGGTCGTTTTCAAAATGTAGCTTTCGCTGCAGCGCTGCGCACAATCGTTTAACAAGTTGCAAGTGGCAAGAGTTCCACGGATCGAGGGCGGTTACTTTTTCAAAACGTGGCTCTCGCAATAGCGAGGCGAACACTCGTTGCAAAACATTGCAAGGGTTTTGCGCATTCGCATGTTTGACGTGTCAGACACGGTGATGTAGAACGATTTAGAATTGTCAAGGCGCAACAACTACATTGATTCGCTGTGGTAAAATCCTAGAAACAATGCTCTGGCACGAATCAGGATCGTCAAGCCGTAACCGTCAGGTTGATTCGTGGCGTTGAAATTCAGGGAACGCTGCTTTGTCACGCTTCAGGATCTTCAAACGGTTGTCTCCCAACGGGGCACTTCCCTTAGTGGAAATTAATCCTTGTAGGGGCCTATGAAGAGGGAGCTTGGAGGAAGGGTTGTTCAAGCATCGTTGATGAGCCTTGGATTTGCACTGGTCCTCCCTCGTCTTTCCTCTCCTCCTCCTCCTCCTCCTCCTCTACCTCCTCTACCTCCCACCCGCTGCTCCTGGTGAGGGTCTTGCTGACTATTCGGAGAACGATCGAATCATCGATTTCTAATGGATAACCGTAGTTTGGTAAGCAGTAGGAGGCGGTGGGGGTGGCAACTTCTGCGGGGTTGTGGCCTTGTGATGCTTCGTTGAGGTTTGTCGCACATGGGAAGTGGGAGGCTAAAGGGACTAAATGGAAAGGGATCGGATCGGAATCTGGCAACGAGTAGCTGCAAACAAGAGCAAACATATTTTCTAAAGTGTTGCGGACACTTTCTGCTGAGGCCCCACAAAGAAACCCATGAAACGCCTAGCCCCTTCCGAGCCAAAGTTGCTCTTTATCCCGACGTTCCACCTTTATGTGACGAGGGGAAGGGGAACAAGGAGGCAACTATCCACACATACCGACCCACACCCTGGGCCCAAGATCGGTGGTTACGCAACCCTGCTCTAGACCAGACGGTCTGTCCAATGTGGCATAGCCACGACACCAAACAACGCTGTAGT